TTTTTTTTTTTGTAAAATCAAGAGCACTGTGCCGTAGTAAATACTGACCTGGAAATTGAAGTAGAAAAGGCGCGAATTGCTATAGTTCATGCGCTGAAAATGTGAAATCCAGATTTAAAGGTAAAATTGAAACAGTTCGTCTTCCTGGGGCAGACGACATCGCTTTTCAAAAAGACGTCGGAAAAATTTGTCGGCATTTAGAGCAGGGCTTTCCTCAAGAGGAAGCTTCGTAGCTTTTAGCCGCTAAGTGCTTTCGGCGCCGATTCTCGTTATTCGTTTTCTCTGCACAGTGCCCGCCGTCCTGTCCCAAACAAGTTGAACGAACAAATATTTTAAAAATTGACATTGGCCGATTGCACTTTTATCGTCTTTTGGGCCATTATATGAGCATACGATTTAGATTACGATAGCGACACAACTGACGATTGAAATTACGATAGTCTAATAACTTTTCGCCGACTGAATCATCATAACCGAGAGACTTTGCCGAGAAGATGCTACTTTGTGTAATTTTGCAGTGGAGTATTCTGTAAATCGGAATTTTGATGCTGCCACTCATGTTGATGAACGCAAACAGATTCTTAAAGCAAAGCAGGAAAATCTTGCTAACTTTGCAAATCAAATTCTTTTAGAAGAGTACAGGTGGAGGTTGACCATACAATCTCGTTCACGCAACTTGCGCCGCGTGTTGGCGACGGAGTAACGGGAACTGAAAATCTTTTCGATCTCTCGTTGTCGCAGGCATTGGGAACAGCAGTAAAATCACCGAAATTTGATTTCGCTTCATCGAAATTAGGAAAAGTTCGTCTTTTTTTCCCGGAAATTGACTGGTAACAAATCCGTCATTTGAGAATACCACAGTTTCTTTCAACTTTTGCGCATAGCGCTTCAGGAAGTGTTAGAATTCTTTCAGCTGCAACCATATTAAGCATGTGCTTGGTTTTATTTTCATAAGTAGTTACGGTCTTATTCTTGGTAAAGCTGCCGTTATTCGTAGGAATGAAAAATGCTGATGCTTAGGTAAAGCAGCTTGCCGGTTTCTCGGATCCTGTCTATGCTGAAGCATACGTTAACGTCAATCAATATGATATTGTGCTTGACGTTCTCATTGTGAATCAAACGGATGACACATTACAAAATGTTTGCCTTGAACTTTCGACTGTCGGCGATATCAAATTGGTCGACAAGCCAACGCCTCTTACACTTGCACCACGTGATTTCTCAAATATCAAGGTAGCCAATTCCTTGGCCGTTTCGTTCGCATTTTTTTTTTTTTTTTCGTGGATTCTCACTTTGGTTGTTTCTCCGTATTGTATTTAATTTGAGACACAAGGAAATGCTAGGGTAATTGCACTTTCCAACGTAACTTTTTCCGTTTTTTTCCCGCACTGCTAAATCGAAAAATCAGTTTTTTATGCGTTTTTTGCAGCAATGCAATGCGAAAAACGCATATTGACGAGAGGTTGTCTG